CTTAAAAAAAAAAGTAATGTTATATGCTATATTTTTTGCAGAAAAATGCTCAATATTAGGAAAAAAAGTGGATATAAATATTAAAGTGGACACTGAAGTCAATATCGAGAGGCGACAGTCTGTTTCATGTTTGAGCTCAATCTTCAGGTCATTAAGTATAAAAATCATTATCGCTAATCGGTGTGAACCTCAGTGTCAACATATACATACTGGGTGCTATGGATAAATTGTTCACTATTTACTTTGTTCGGACTATCGTCCTCATCTTTGTCGCCATATTTATCGCAACGTTTCGACCGTTGTGCTTTCCTGCCTTCTTCAGTTGGTTGAAATGTCGAACTGAACATTTTATTTCGCTCGCTAGGGTAGACTGTTCTAGTTCCGCGTGCCATGTCTAATGGATGCTAGTTATCAGTTATCTCCTGTTAATTCCCCTCTCCAATTTCTCCACTGCCTTAACCAGGTATTGAACTCACACTCTTTGGGTCCTATCCCTGGATCTAACTAACGCCTTTATCTACTGTGCCATGTATCATTAATGGCCATTAGACATGGCACGTGGAACCTGAGGCATCTGTCATAGCCAACGTTAAACAAAATCGTCTTGAAAACATCGTGTCAATGCAAAAGAGTCCGTGCCATTATTAAAGTACCATATCTTTTCAGCACGAAGGTAATTATGACTCTTTAGATCCTTTTCATTATTTTCGATTTACCACGCATTCCTGGGATATATAACAGAGTGGTTTTCCGTTGTCCTCTTTACTGTTTGATATTTCTAAAAATCATTTCACCCCAAGCAAGGTAATAAAGCCACTAACATGCAAGGAGCTTAAGAAGAGAGAAAAAAAAACAGTGTTAAGGATAGAGAACAATAAAAGAACAGGACTTAAGGAGACAGAAGATAACGATTTATATTCCATTTAAATTTCTGAACGTCAAAGTTGACTGGAAAACAAAATGTCGGAAGAGATTTCCACAGCCAACCAAAAAAAAAAAAAATATGGGATTTTGAAATATATATATACATAATGCAATGGATAAATTGTCTGAAATGTTTGTGTTGGGGTTTCCGGCTCGAATGTCAAGCAGTACAGAATGCAGTTTGCAAATTTATGGCGGAGTGAATTTCATCATGGTGCTCGTTTTCTCATAGACGGTTCCCAACTAACCCTACTATACTTTGCAGTCGACAGTCAAAAACAAACAACGCACATGCGCAAAATTAAAAATATAAAATGGCAACAATTTACCCATCGCACCCTGTATACACACACACACACGCGCTCGCGCACACACACGCGCACACACTCACATAAATAGATCTAAGAAAATACAGGGGTCATTAAAAGATAAGAATATAGATATCTTTCTCACCATTTCTCGGACCAGTCTTAATTGTTTTATTACCCTTCACGCAGAATTTTTTCACTGCCAGTTCAAGAAAGACACTTGGGTCACTATCACACAAAAAAGACATTAATATATCGAGAATATTTAACATCGAAAAGCATAAGTGCTGTGGATTCCGGGTTGAAATCCGGTACCAATAAATTACAAACGCCAGGAATTAATATATGAAAATAATGTATTAACGTAATAATACAAACTGGTAAAGCAGGTTAGTAGTTCCAGGAATACGGGTTAGTAGCAAAATATCTATACAGTCTTTGGTATTGAAGTATTGCTGTATGACTTCTTACTGAGTCTAGGTGCTCGCTCACTGTGACTCCTGCAACGCTGTTACCTCACCCTCACTCTACCGGTTACCTACAACCTTTTACTCTGTCACTCTGGACTCGACTCGACTCTTCGGTATTGCTCTCACTCTCGCTCTTGTAGTAGTATATGTATATAGTGGGTGAGTTCATTTGTATAAAAAGGGGTGGACTCCTCAACAATAAGAAATTTTTTTTAATAATATGTGGAAATATCCACTCTTTGCCTGATGAAGGTCGCGAGACCGGAAACAAGTGTAGCAAAATTATGGAAAATAAAGCATAATATATCTTTTTAAAAAATCCACATTACAACCAAAAACGTTTTCTCTCTTCTTTTTAATATACACTTTTTTCTCTCATTGGAACTACTATAATCTCTTTCCTTTATATATATATATATATATATATATATATATATATATATGACGAGGTGTAATAGCATGCTCTACGACTGAGTAGTGAGTTCAATTCTCAGTGAATGTCCCATATTTGCAGTATAATCTAGCGTTTTGATTTAGCAAATTTATTCTTCAGAAAATAAATAACAGCAATATTTTATTTCTCCATTCACCTTTATTTGCAATGACTTGTAAGGCACGTATCAGGTAGTTCTTCGATAGCTTTGCTATAAGATTCTGCAGATTTTTATGTGAAGCAATTTTCAAAGAACTCTTGAACTTGGTTGCTATTAAAGAAATCTTTCGCCACCAAAGCGTTTTTTCCTCGAGTGAAAATTGTAATAACTGGTTTGTTCAAGATTAGATAAATATAGTGCTGAACAAACCAACCGACTTACAGATTTCTCTGTAGAAACATGCATTTAGTGAGTTAAGTTTCAAGAAATCTAAATTAATTATACCCCGACAATCACACTGCGTGCATGATATTACCTTTCTTCCATTATACAAAGCTTTTGAAATTGTTTTTGGAGATTTGTCTTTGTCAGTCTATTGCTTTTTGGATTGGACATCGTCGTATGGAACCCATTTTTCATCACCTTTTTATTAAACATTTTTGGAACGGTGAGTTAGGAGGATATAATCCAACTTAATATTGGATGGGGGATGAATTATTTCGTTTTTTATTTATGTTAATCCTATTTTTCATCAAAGATTTTTATAAATCAATCCGTAATATATCCTCTATTGTTTACGACTTTTAGCCAACGGTCCCCTAGCCTGTCACATGACTTCACAGTAGAAATCATTAGATCTTGGCTCGAAGAATTCATCGAGCTACGTTTCCAATTCCACGTCATTGTTGAAAGAAACGCCTCACAGACTTTTGGAAAACGACTGAAAATCCGTAATAATCCAAAGGCGCTAAATCGGAAGAATACGGTGTATGTGGTAGATGTTCACAACCAAGCTCTTGAACGGCGTTTTTAGTCAAAGTGGTGGCGAGCATTGTCGTGTTGAAGAATCCCGCCGTATAACAAATTGGATTGCTTCATTGAACCGGTGAATATTTTTAACGTGTAAAGGTTTATAGTGATCGTATGGTTGTTTCCAAGCATTTCCTATTGCATTAGCCCTTTGCAATCACACCAAACGTAGACCATTGTCTTTTGTGGACGCAGATCTCGCTAGGCTGGAGGTATTGCTTGTCAAGACAGCCATTCTTTGCTGTTTCATGTTGATGTAAAGACGTTACAATTAGCCTGGTGTCGTGTAAACAAATTGGTAGTGATGTTTCAATACTGGAGTTTATCTCTTTAATTCAATGCATCCAGCACCCATTTCCCGAGGTTTTAGATCTTAACTATCGAATGAAGGTAACGGTATTATGGTGCATCCCTTCTTCTGTTTTAATTCTCTTGCGGACTGACGTACATCCTCGTAGATGATCTCATTCATTCAGTCATCATGGATCTGAACGGGTCGACCCAAACGCGGAGAATCTTTGAGGTAGAATTTCCTTTTCTTGAAGCGTTAAAAACCATTTCTGTATGGTTATTGCTCTAATAGTGCCTTGTCTGTATACAACACAAATGTTTCGAATAACTTTGGTAGAGTTTGGACTTTGGTTAAAAGCAAGATGAAACAAGTGATGAAAATGCTCATTTTTGTCCACTTGGCAATCTATCTTTATATTTCTGATTTTTTTTTTTAAATTCAAATATTAAAACCGATGAACAAAAGTTGTAGAGGAAGAATAGAGTTACAAAAAGCAATAAAAAATACAGCGTGTCCATAAAGTTCGTGTGCACTTTAAAAAATTTATAACTTTATTTGTATTTGCGATAGAAATAATTTGTAAAAAGGATTAGAAATAAGTAAATCTATATTTTTTAAGGTTTTATTGTAATTTTATTTAAGTTTCCACATGTCCTCCATCATTAGCAATATAAAGAGTAATACGATTTTGCAGTTCACGGAAAACATTTGCCAAATGATTTACAGTAATGCCTGAAATCACATTAGTTATTTTAGCTATACTTAAAACTAGGTACATTAAACTTTATAACATTTTTTACAGATTATTTCTATCGCAAATACAAATAAAGTTATAAATTTTTTAAAGTTCACACGCATTTTATGGACACCCTGTATTTTGTATGTAAATTCAAACACGAGGCAAAAAACGAACGAATTTATCTGATATATAAAATATAATATTATATATAAAATAGCAAATTACTACTATAATTTTATCATGAAGGAATTCTTATTAGTAGCAAAAGAAATATCATGACACTATTATATTAAATTTACATATAACACTATTATATTAAATTTACATATAACTATTTATAAAACCTGTTAAGCGAAACAGGAAATACCTATGCATGAAGATCTTTCCTTGCAGGCAAATACATTGACATAATCTCCCCTCATTTATTCACTTATTTTTTCCGGGTTATCGACCTTTTCTAGGTTATTTAAAATCAGAAAATATTGTTAGATCATAACAAGTTTTGGGGGATAATAATGATTTACTTATGCAATTCCTACTAATTAACCAATATCTAGGGAGAGAAAAAGTGGATTCATAACTTTTCCCAGGGTATTTGTGCGTATGTGAATAAAAAATATCTCGTCTGGAATCGAAACACCGCCTCCGAGTTCTAATTCCGACCCATTATCCATTACGCCAACAGCATCAGATTCAAGCCTGCAACACCTTGTATTCCCAAGCAGTCACCCATCAAGGTACTGACAGGTTCACTATTGCTTAACTCCTGCGATTATTAAGGAACATGTCTTTTAACATCATATGCCTGTAAGCCTACAATGAATTTAGAATCAAATATTGTAAAATACAGATACCTATATTGGCACCATACCTGGTATTCCCAAGCGATCACCCATCTAGGTACTGGCCAGTCTCGACAATGCTTAACTTCGGTTATCGGAAGAGGACCGGTGTTTCAGTGTGATATAGCCGTAAGACCCGTTTTATATTTAGTAGTTTTTGTTGGCCCAATAGTCAAAACAGGACCCCCATTTTATAACCACTTATTCATTCATATCTTTTACCATTGACCACTGTTATGAATTGCCATCTTTTTTTTCGGTATAATAATTATATATATTTCGAATAATATATTATCAATTATAAATTATCTATCTATCTATCTATCTATCTATCTATCTATCTATCTATCTATATATATATATATATATATATATATATATATATCGGTAAATCGAATCGAGTTCTCTCAGTCACTGTGTGTTTATCTTTAAATAAATACGCATTAATTCACCTTCAACCCTGCCGTGCGCCAACGGCATAGTGGTAGAATCCCCGACTGATGCCAATTCAGTCGGGGTTTGATCCTAGCTAGAGGTAACCGGGCGTCTAACCACACTGATGAGCTGTGATACAGCGAAACAGTCTGTCTGTGTATGACTAATATATATATATATATATATATATATATATAATCTGGTTGCCTCTATCTGTTTGTTATCGAAATCCTCGTAGGGTTTTGGAGATAGAACATCATAACCATATATATTCTGAAACTAAATTACCCAGAGTACTTGGATAAGTATATTTCATTTTATTGAAAGTGGGTCTGCGCACAACCCCATTAATTGTTTTTCCCTTTGATATAAATTAAATTTAAATTTTAACATGGGAAAGACTCCCAGGGTACTTGGATAAGTATATTTTATTTTGAATACGGGGGAGGTGACACAAATGATCCACTGATTTTTTTTTTTTTTTTTTTTTTGTCTTTGATTTAAATTCAATTTAAATTTGAACAAGGGAATGACTCCTATCGAAAATATACAAGGAGAAATCCAGAAGATGGAGGTCACATCAGAAACATCACTCTGATCAAAGGGGATCCCGGGGATGCACAACGCACACCCCACTGAAATTTGTATTCCCCTTTGATTTAAATTAAATTTAAATTTTAATAATGGAAAGACTCCGAGGTATATGGATAAGTATATTTAATTTTGATCAAAGGGGGTCTCGGGTGATGGGAGCACAAACCACCCACTGAAAAATGATTTCCCTTTGATTTAAATTAAATTTAAATTTGAACAAGGGAATGAATCCTATCGAAAATATAAAAGGAGAAAGACAGAAGATGGAAGTCACATTGGCAAGATCAAAATGAGACAATATGAACGTCAAGTTGGGCAAGAAATCTCTAAGCAGTGGGTTGTGATTATTCAACTGCCATATCACTGTCTCCATCTGATCATCAATTCATTCAATCAAGTTTTGCATCAAATACATATCAAAGGGGTCAGATCAAGCTGTTTTTATCCCACACACACACACTGAATTTTTATCCTTTGATTTAAATTAAATTTAAATTTGAACAAGTGAATGATTCCTATCCAAAATATAAAAGGAGAAAACAGAAGATGGCGGTCACATCGGCAAGATCATTGGGTTATATTGAAATGCATCATTTTCCTCCACAAATTATAACAATAATTTAACATCATTTTCTTACAAAAAATATCTGACACGCAACAAGGTGCGAGTAATTTGGCTCGTATATATATATATATATATATATATATATATATATATATATATATATATATATATATATATATATCTGTGTGTGTGTATGAGAGAGAGTGAGTGTGTGTTTAAAATTTCAGATATAACTAAAAATATGTCTGCAAAAGGACATGAAAAGGAAACTCTGATGCAAGGCCAATTTACAATTTTATTTTGCCTCAAGTATTTATAAACAAAAGCAAAAATATTGTTAATTTTTCAAAATTTTAAATTTATGAAACACTTGTAAATATTTATCCGGTTAAGTGAAAAATCTAGGTAAATTATGGAAGATGCTAAGTGATGTAATTTTATCAAGGCAAATTTTAAAGCGAAATGTTTTGTATTGCCAGATTGACGAAACGCGTTGACAATTACTAAGAAATATTTTTTCCAATTGTTTTATTTTTTAATCCAATTTATCTTATCTTCAAAATTATTCTGAGAAATTTAACAATATGTCGACATGGAAAACAGTTTTCAGTTTCTGATGTCGCTTAAGTGCTAAAACATTCAAAACTATTATAACGCAACACGTTTTGTATCACGTCACGTCTCTGGTATGCATTATTTAAGTTTGTGATTTATTTTTCTTTGAATTTATTGTCTGTCTCATAAGAACATTGGCACTCAAACAATTTAATTTTTGATAATTAAAAAACAAAAATTTATTTCCATTTAATTAAAGCGCGAATAATTATCTCCCTGTTAATTTATTTTGCTGTTGCAAAAGTGTCTGATTTATACAGCGAAATGCAAAATTCACTGTACGTTGCAATCAACTTCATTTATAATAATCTAATTTAATCAACAAATATTGAAACAATTACTTTTTTTTTAAATATATATAAAAGATGAAATATGAACTTCGTTGTTGAATATCTAGCCATAATCCATTTTAGAATTTTTTTTTATTCAATAAATGGGAAGGACAAAATTTCCCTTACGCCCGGAAATGACTATCTATAAAATTCTTAAATTATTTACATTATTCGGACTATTATCTTCATCTTCATTGCCATATTCACAACGTTTCGTTCATTGTACGCTCCGGCCTTCTTCAGGTGACTGGAATTTCGAAATGAACCTTTCATTTCGCCACTGGAGTAGATTCTTCTAGTTTCACGTGACATGCCTCTTCCGTATAACTCAGTTATTTCCCTCTAACCAAACTCTTCAAGGTTTTGGTTCACAACTATTTGGGTCTAGTGACTGGATCTAACAAACGTCCTTATCCACTTAACCATGCGTACTTGTATGAATTTCTAGTCTAATGTCTCAGAAACCATTTTTAGCAGGTGCTCACATTGCAATTTTTTTTTTTATCATTACCCATTTTTTTTTTTTTACTAGAGGTTATATTGCAATCTTTGTTGTTGTTCATTTATATTGTATTCATTTCTATGCTTGGCCGGCTCACCTGAAGAAGGCAGCAGCGTACAACAGCGAAACGTTGTGAATATGGCAATGAAGATGAAGATAACAGTCCAAATAATGTAAGTAATGTAAATAATCGTAATACCTCATCTCAAAGATATAGACAGATATTGAAATTCTTAAAATATGTAATATTTATATCATGTTATATCGAGATAGCATAGCAGACTGTATCTAGGAGTTGTATATTTTTAAAGGGAGTTATGTTTATCGCAATGAACATGCGCACTGCGAACTTCAAACAAGGTATAAAGAACAATATGGCGAATGTGAAAGAGTTGTTTGCGACTTTAAAACAACGATTTATGTACGCGTGCAATTCAGAAGAGTTTAGGATCAGTAGGTAAGTAGTGTCTAGTACCAAATTCAAATATAAATTATACCAGTAAAAAATATTGGGGATCGAAAACACTTGCATCTCTTTTTGGAAGGCCTAATTTCTAAGAATGCAAAGCTTGTATGTAGATGTAAGAAAAACACTAAAGTTCTGCTGAAAGTTATTTTTTCTGACTTGTCAAACGATAGAGTAAATATGTCACGTTGTACAGTAAGAATAGGGTTCAATGGTCACGACGTTTACCCTCCAAGAAAAACAATTTTGTTATCATTGATAGGCTTGACTGGGATTAGTACGTGCCTATTTGGAATAGAATTATAGAAAGGGATAGTGATTTTTTTAAAACCTTCTCTTAATGAATGATGAGACGAAAATGGAATTGTTGGTCGGAAAGGGAAAGAGAAGCCATGACCTTGGGTATTGTTATTAGGGTGTAAAATATAGATGAATATAATCTTATACTGTGCTGGTGTTTTAGTGTAAACGTAACAGACCGTTTGTTTAAAAGAGATGGAAGCATAAACAACGAAGTTTACTGTGATATTTTAAAAGAACATCACAAAGATCCTGCTAATAATATTTTGGCGGTTGGCTACGTTTCAATTTTCCAACATCTTGGCCTCTAACCCAAATACAAAGTTAAATTCGAATCGAGTTCTCTCAGTCACTGTGTGTTTATCTAAATATAAATACCCTTAAATTCGTTCTTGAAGCTTTTATTTTAGTAATAATTACAAGATTAAGACAAGCGCACTACGGTAGGATTAGCACAAAAACAAAATCTATCTCTCCATTTGACCTAAAGTGAGTCGCCACCAGAATCCAATATAAAATTTGTACCAAGAATTTAAAGTTAAGGCTCATTGAAAACAGTCTTCAAATTTAGTAGAATTAGAGGAGTTTACTTTCGCAGAATGCAAAAATATATCAAAAGAAATTTGAATAGCGTTTACTAAAAGTTATCGAATGGAAATGCTATACCCTTTACAATCAGCTGAATTGTACCTATAATTTTGTTCTTACCAAGTTTATCTTTGTTTTCTTTTACTTTTTATAATAAAGATCTACAAATAGGTGGCTCGAAAGCCACTCAAGTTTGAAGCTTATTACTAAACTAATTATGGTGAAAGAGTTGTGATATGAGTGAAAGGAGAGGTTGTAGAAAGTGGGAATTATGAGGATAACGTAGATAGATAATAACTGACCTGAGGTGCTTCAGTTTTCAGTGTTCAGGAAAGCATCCTCGTGGAAGTTTGTTTGACAAAGCGAAAATTCACGTGTAAACGCTGTGTGAATGTAACATTTATTATGTTCATAATGCTGTTGTATAAAAATCTTTCTGAAACGGTTAAAAATGTAAAACTCACATCTTGATAGATTACCTAATCATAACATCATATGAGAGATTGTGGTAAATAAAACAAAACGACACAATCAATGGGTTAGTCGCTCGCTGTAACCATAATTTAGATTAATGAAATGCTGCATTAATTAACAGAGAAATCAATGTACTAAGGTTAATGTTTATAGAAAGTGCTTTGATTGCTAGATACTTAATAAGAAAAGTGATGAAAGCAAAAGATTTAAAAAACAAAGCATAAAGAAACCGACTTTTATTGGCTAGACGACATCCCAAAAC